AAACTAAGTCAAGTGCTCCATGAAGCATGGTGACAGGTAGAAGTGGTGATATCCTGGGAACATAAGTGTCAGATCCTCTGTGCCAGTCAGCTGTACAGTTTTGCCCAGTTGGCAGTAAAGTGACATTTTGACCTTTTGTGGAAATCACCAGCATCTTGATGTGCTTAGGGGCCGGTGTTGATAGCGACTACAACCCAACCAACACAAGATCCCTTTGCGAAGGTGGGGCAACTTACTTCTGTTCTGCCTAAACTACTGACCAAAGACTGATACCAAGTTATACAGGATGACCAAACCGGTAGATGTACATAAGGGCCACTGGTGATTAATGGCATTGGGCACCTGAAACTTGAGTGAAAGTCAAGGAATTCAGACCTAACCGCTTCTTCTAACCGTCACACGTGTTTTCAAACAAACCCTACAGTCTGTGTGCAGGCTACATTGTACGTAGAGCTTTGAATCTCTATCTCTCTTTCTCTGATGCCACTGCCACTTACGCTCCCTTTCCGACGTGATATGCATCCACCATTGTTGTTGGACTTGCTTATCCGCGAGAGGTGTAACATAGGGCTGAACGGCGATGTGCTGAAAAGGCCGGACGCTGATAGTGGCAAAGACCAAAGGGATAACAACACTCCCACAATTTGGATCTCCTCAAGCGAACCACCAAAAACAGTTGCAGTAGTTCTGTTCAGCGGTGAAGTCAGGCAGCAGCAGCAGCAGCAGTAGCAGCAACAGCAGATACGATGCACAGACATACATCCTACTTCCTCTCGCACCCGCTGACCGGGCATTGCTCCAACTGTTTCTTGCCGGTGCCTGTGTACACACCTTGCCAAGCGGAACGAAGTGGACATGGCCGGCCAGGAGCAGAGTCGCGTGAGGGCTACAGCCGCAGAGCAGTTTGCAATGCTACCGAGCTGGGTGCTGTGGAACTGTGTGGCGGAGCACCAGCAGGAGAAGCACTGACTGACTACGGTCTGTGAGTGCGAGAAGAGTCCTACTCGGGTATCCGTGCTAGCATGCTCTAGCCTCTAGCTCTATCGAATCTACGGCTATTTTTTCGGCCAGTCGGCTACTACTACTACTAGTAAGTATCATTTTCGTCTTGGGGGTTAGACAAGGGGGTCTTGTTGACACTACGAGAGTACTGTGTAGTAGTACCAATGGCAATGGTATACGCTACAGTATGACGTTCTCACTCGCAGCCATGCAGTACAGACTGAGGCTGTGTTTACATGAGAAATTTCAACCCGGGTCGAGTTCAGCCCGGGTTGAAAGTCTGTACGATAGACAAAAGAGGTGAGCGTTTACATGAAGACAGTTGACCCGGGTCAAATACTGATATGCCGCCAAAAGTCCACTTCTACAGTCCTGTATGATCACGTGAATCCGTTCGCGCGAAATTTGCATCTGCAGTGCTGTTCAAACCTGGCGCGAGATACGCACAGAAGTACGTTTGTACGATTTTCTTGACCCGGGTTGATTTCAACCCTCCCCTTGGGGGGAGGGTTGAAATCAACCCGGGGCGAAATTTCAACCCGGGTCAAGCGCAATGCGTCATGTAAACGCGCAATTCATTTTATGCACATGGCGGGTTGAAATCTGACCCGGGTCGAACTCAACCCGGGTTGAAACGCCTCATGTAAACACCGCCTCAGTGCAGGACCAGCCGGGTAGCCATAGCCTACAATGATTATGTAGGCAAAGAGTGTACAATAACTACTACAATACTTGTAAAAGTTGTATAGTACTGAGTACCGGTAGTACTACACTGTACTAGCATGATTGTAGAAGCGTCCCTCACCTGGCCGCGGTGGCGCGGTCCATCCCAGAAACATCAAAATCCGATCTTGGCAAGGCAAAAAGAGCACTGTGCTCCAGACGACGAGGGTGTCTTGTTTCCACAAAACCCGTCACCACAACCTAGCACCTTAAATTACTTATTATTACAGGTAGTGGCACGCCATGGTATGTGCAACATTCAGCCCCTACTACGCACACTGAACTGTTACTAGTAAAATAGTACTAGTAGATCTACTAGTACATGATTGTACTGCTACTGTAATCACTTCCACCAGAGTAGATCTACCAGTAGTCTCTACCCATATCAATAACACTGCTCCTGGTTGTGGGACTGCTTTGGCCAAAATGGCAATGGTGGCCAATCAGGTATCTGCTCAAGGAATCTCAGTCTCAATGCCTGTCTGTTCTCACCTGCCGGACGGCGTCCGGATGTTGCAGCGCAAACTAACCAGCCCTCCGCGCAGACACTGTCAGTGACAGTCTGGAACAACTACACGTGTGGCCATAGGCCATTTACCATGATGTACTGACTACTGTGCTGGCAGGGAGTCTTGATCAAGTGGCAAGTAGTGCTCATACTCATAGAGCAGTCATTGTAATGCAGACTCTGTACATGATTGTACATGATTGTACAATGGTTACACAGGGCAGAACAACAGAGACCAAAAATCCTTCTCGTGACTCCGAGTTTCGTGTTTCACAAAACACTCAGATCATCAGACGATAAAGCATAATAATGCTATTCGCTAGTTATATAGGGTGATTGTACTGTAGGCTAAAGGCAGTGCCGCAGTGACCACGAAGCTTGAGGGGATAACATCAGCGCTAGAATACACTGTGCGTAATATGAGTACAATTATGTATTTTCCACAGACTAGTACTAGTAGTAGTACCGATCCTTTCAATGTTTTTATCTTTACTTTAGTCTTTTCCTTTTCCACCTGGACTCCTTGGTTTCCCTTTTTCTCTCTAGGCTAGCTCTTCTCTTGTACCTTTTTGCTGTTATTCACTTTTAATGTGGGGCTTTGAATAAAACAAGACTCACAGTAACTCACTGATGACCACACCACGTACCACATGATTGTGCACAGCTCTGACTGTCTGACTCTGAGCTGAACATATCCAGGTACTGTATCCGTCAATGCATCCTGGCATGGCTGGCAGCGCTGACTTACTTCCCAACGAAGTCAAGGAGCTCTTTTCACTTCTACGTTCTAGTCTCAGTGGGCACATTACTTGTAGTACACATACATTATGACTTCTACAGTTTCCTCGGAGACGGTTTCCTCATTTTCGTTCTATGTCACATGTGTATGTGACACCCATTCTTCGTTGTTGCGTTTAGTTTTATTTAGCCTGAACAGGCTGAAGTGAGTCCTTTTCTAAGTACGTCGTAGTTTGTACTACACGTACAGTCGACGTACATGCAGTCATGTAGCGATTCCCACTGAAAAACTCTAAAATGATAGAAACCGTTCTAATGGGACACTTCAACTACACGTACGTACATACAGTCATGTAGTAATCTCTTTTAAAAATTTGTTCGAACAGTTGATGAAGACGCACGGGCCGCGGGCCCTATATTAAAAGTCCCTGAAATAATTGAAAAGGATAAAATTACACGCGCATGCATGCCTAGGTGATCTAATGCTAGTAAATACAAGTAATTATTTAGTACAAGTCATAACGACTTTGGTTACGTTAGTCACGGGCTTTGTTCTTGTTACATCTATTCACCAGTGATCACCAGTGATCACCACTATTCACAGCTAGTCACTGCTATACTAGCACTAGTCTAGCAGTCGGTTGCATCATAAAAAATCCTATGGTATCCTCATCTGAAAGGCTGAAGCTGCTAACCGTGAGTGTGATTATGTGAAACAATTACTTTACAAGGTAGGTGGTGCTTACCTCTACAAACAATGCGACTTGTTGGGAAGAGTAGATCTGGAGATACAGTACAGTACAGTACAGTGGACCTCGAAGTCCATTTTAGTAGCTTGTAGTTGTAGTGTAGTTCGATTCGACGACAGTCACTCATACTCCGGCTGCACTCACTCGTGACTCGGGCGATCGAACAGCCTTGTCTACTTGGCAGTTACGGTGACTGTCACTTAGGTCAGGAGGTGCTGGAGGCGAGCCATGCATGGTACTTGCCTAACTAGTGCATGGTAGATCTACGCAGCCTGGTCTATGCCTATGCCTATGCCTATGGTAAACAGCTTGGTGCTGTCAAGTGCCGGACGCCTGCTCATAACCGCTACAAACTGGCTAGTGCAAGAGAATGCCAGGCCTTCTGGCGCCAAGCGCCTGGCCCCTGACACACCTTCGCCTTGCACGTGAACCACTGAAGCCATAACAGTGCTTGTTGTTGTACTGAAAAAATTGGCACCGTTTCAATTCAAGCAACCAAACTGGAGTTACGTCGCGAGTAGTACGCGCACGCGTATGTCGGAGTCCGGGTTGCGCGATCACTACTCGCTAGCAGTGTAGTGCAAGCGATTTTGCGAACATCCGCGACTTGTGCGCTTGCTGCCTTCAGCCGCGCCTAGCCCTAGAACAAGTACAGCCCTAGCCTAGGTCGTAGATCTACGGCATGCTAGCTGCTGTGTTGCCTGTTGTTGGCGCGGTGATCTACATCCGCTACGGATGTGTATGATTGTGCAAGGGAGCTGACGCGCACGGTGTGAGACACGTCAGAGCAGTTATCAGGTTATCTGCCATAGTTACACCAGTCACCACCACTGCCACTGCCACTACACCACACTGGACTCTGGAGAGCTGGACACGTAAGTCTGTCATTGATGCTAGACCTACTGAGTACCTACGATCTACGTACACCCAGTACAGACTCAGCCTACATACATAGTAATCATTTTAGTCCAAGAGTAACGACGCTTTACGTGACGCTAGACTAGACGCGCCTACTGCGCGCAGATTAGTGCTCGTTTTCCTAAAACATTCTGGACAGCGGATAATCACCATGATCACTATGATGAGTATTACTATGTTGAGCTTCACTTGAGTTTTCACTGTGCACACATGCCTGCTACTACTACAAGTAGTATTTTGATTAGAAATATTTCAGTTTTCTCAGGAATGCGGCCTCCCTAGCTAGCTCCAAGCATGCAAACAGGCTGGATACACCACCACACACAGCACTGTCACCAGGGTCACACATTGGGTCAGAACAATTCTGGACACGCTTTTTTGATATTTCAATCACCTTGAAATGGGGAGAGTTATATCACAATTGTACAAGAGAAGCAAACAAGAGAATACTGAGACAAGTTTTGGATGGTAATGAGGGTAGGGGTAAGATAAATTAGAGCACTCAATTTCAACGTAAGATGACGATAGAAAACGAAAATAGGCTGAGTGAAAGGAGGAACTGCATGTAGACACAGTGCTAAGATGACATGTTCCTGCTGACTAGAACTAGGACGGCTGCTGAACAACAGAAATAAATTAGAATGCAGTGTAGAAGACAAGACTTTGGCAAAGCTGTACAACACTCTGCGATGATAATGCCAGAATAATGATAGGAGGGAAGCAAGCAATGCTGGCTATTGAATGCACCCAATGGAATTACTAGCAAGTTTTAACTTTGCCAACAGCACTATACCAAGAAAATACAGTGGCACGCCAAGTATTCCATGCAGCAGTTAGTTGAGGAACTACAAGAAGTAAGCTAGGAAACACATTGGAAACTACGCTTCTTTTAAAAAGTGAAAATAGAGTAGCGGGATTAGTGGTAACAAAGCAGATTGACACAACAGCTAATCTACACCACACACACACACACACACACACACACACACACACACACACACACACACACACACACACACACACAGAGGGATAGTTTAAACACCAGCATTGTTTCTATAGTATTCTTAGCGGCGTAACTGGCAGTATAAATAATAGATGAGTTGTTAAAATGAAGAGAAGATGGGTAAATCATGATGGTGGCGGTAAGGAATGGCGTATAGCCTGAAAAATGTTATGATCACAACGTGCTGTCGACTGCAGATTAGCCCTCCTGGCCAAAGCAGCTTATAACAGTGGGGAGATGTATATACAGCTATATGAAAGTGCCTTACCAGCGACTGGCAATAGGATTATGAGCTCCAGTTGGTGACAATCTTTGCTGCTGCTGCTCTGGGATTGGTTCAAAGCGCGAACTCTGGGAACTGGACGACAATCCGAGCATGGCCGGAGTGGACTTTTGTGCCAGAAGAGTGATGGCGTTATCCAGGCCTTCCATGTTCAACCTGGACCTGCTGGAACTTTGGTTCTGTGGACGCAGAACACTACCCCATGGGAATTCATCCAGGCTGATGGGTTGATCAGTGTGCGTCGGTGTTGGCAGCTGACCTACTGCAAGTGGGAATCCCTTGGTCTTGGAGCTGTCCGTCAAAGGAACTGAAGAGCTGCGCTGATATAAAGCTCTGTTACTCCGTCCATGTGCAGCAGCAGCAGGTGGAGTTTGAGCAGGCACACCAGAGTAGCTAGTGCTGACAGCACCAACCATGGAGCCTGCCATTCCCACAGCAGCAGCATGGCTCATGTTGGTTGCTGGTGGAGAATTCTGATTAGCAGGCCTGCTGGGCATATCAGCTGAATAACGTCGGGCCAGCGTAGGTGGTGTTGACTGAGCACAGTTGCAGGCCCTTCCAATATGACTTGGATCTGTGCAAGTAGTCACAGGACCAACGCGACCTGCCAGTGGTGGCGATGATGGCGTACGTCCAGGTCCATGTCTTCCTGTGTTTCTTGGCGAGTTTGTCTGAGCAGTGTGCTGACCTAGAGGCCGATTTCGCATCACTGGGGAGTTAGCAGAGCCCATCGAACTCTGCAGAGAGAGACCAGCGATTCTGGCAACTGTACCTTGATCTAGAGGAGTGACGGGGTTGGAGAGCGTGTCCGATACTCCAACAGAACCACTTGGAGTTGTAGGGTGATCATCTCGAGACTCGTTTGGTTCATGAACGAAGTGGCAACGAGAGCCGTACGGACAGAAGCCGTCCTTGTAGAATGTACGACAAGCTTCGGTCTTGTACTTTGGATGTCGCTCGATAGCTCGCTGCTCAGCTGCGCCATGAGCAAACTGACACTTCTCGCCGTAACGGCAGGAGCCTGTCTCCATGAATGGACGACATAGCTCCGTCTTGTACCGACTGGAGTTGCTTCTTTGCCCTCTTGCCGTGCCATCGCCAGAGTCTCCTGGGTCTTTGTCGGGGGTCCAGAGATTACTGAGAGCCTCGGCACTCACTGTATCAGCGGAGACTGAGAGAGAGTTTGGCCGAGTCGGGTTGTATCGGTCAGGTCGCGGCTCTGCGCTACGGTCCGTACGGAATCCGCGAGCGGCGTAGTCTTGCAAACCTGCCTGGATATGCCAAAGAAGCGCAGGAAAACACGGACAGAATACTCTCTAAGCATAAAACGAATGGAAACAAAACTTCCCGTTCCCTGGCGTAGTCACACCATGAGTACACCAGTGACTATCAATGGCCGGAGAATAGATCAAGCGCTCCCTCTACCCGTTGACATTATTTCGCCATAATGTAGCATTGTAGGGGCAACATACAGTACTAGGCATTACACACATATCAATGAGCATTGGTCTGAAAGACCCTGACTGCCTGAAACTGAGGAAAATAGTAGGATTCTGCATACTGTGGCGAAATCCCGGGCTGCAAGATCAGTTCCAATATAACCAATGATTATCTTTGCGGACGGCTATAACTTCATGAGCATGAGGACTGCATCTTCTTCACTAGCATGTAGAGTACTAGTAATTATTGAGCAGCAACACGCAGCGTTCGGAAAAGCACAAAGCAACACCAGCAGCTGCAAGCGAACTTACCATCGGAAAGGTTGGCCTTGCTGGCTGAACTGCACACATAGTGGCAGCCATCGTAGTCCATAGATATGTAGCGCTAGCTACTCTCGAAGAATCTTTACTTTCGAAAACAAAACTGGAGTGGAGGCGAGCGCCGTGGCACCAATTCTCTGAACTCCACACCAACGCACTGGAGCAAATGCAGCACCCGTCCCCCGCCTGCTGAGCTTTTTATGCACTGAACACACGGCTTGATGAGTCGCTCGAGTCGATCGAGTCGCCGTGCTTGAGCTAGCGGCGCCGCGGCGGTAGTATGAGCATTGACTTTGCGCAATCGGTGGCTACTGCCAGTACTGGCTAGTGTACATGCATACATCAGTACTTCATTCAGCGCGCGGACACGGACACTGATCGTCGAGCAAGAGCCTGCGCAAGACCACCAAGTCCTGTGTGCAGTAGTATGATTCAGATCGATGCGCAAAGCCAAAGGCAGTAGATCTACTGCTATGCAGCACATGGTGTACAGCACCTCCTACTCTGTACCTCCCTCCATGCGTCAGCTGCAGCCTGGGTACCGGGTATCTCAACGCTCTCAACAGTGCACTGACTGCGTGTGTGCGGCTACTCGGCTTGTCAGTGCCCAACTTCCCCAAGAACCAGCGCAAACCACTGATATGACTGTTGAGTGTTGGTGGTAAGTGGCATCGCCGGGCACCATTCATCAGCCCGTCCTGCAGTGTAGAGTGTAGATTTACTGCTGGTCGAAACTGACGAAAGTAATATTTTCGTCTCGCTCAGTATTCGTCGCAGATTGCGAAAGTAAGCATAGGATGATAATAATCTTGTTTCAAAGAAGTAGATCCATTCAGTGCGCGCATTACGGTGGCCTCGTTCTATCCTGCAGTCTACGACTGCGCTAAGCGATAATCCATCGAGCCATAACTTATAAGGTTTGCATGGCTCTGCCCGGCTATGGCCATGAGTATGACTGGAGAGCATGGTCAGGATTAGTCGGTATAATTATCCTAAATGCGTTATGGAAGTCGAAGGGTAACACCATACGAGCACTTGCGGATGTGCTGATGCAGTGATGGAGAGAGAACTAGATCGAACACAGAAACGTGAGAAAATGCACAGAATTGTAATGTTTCAGCAACTCTCAATCCTCTCTCGCATCCAGGCAATATTGATTCAACAAGAACAACAGTAGATTAACCCCCCCCCCCCCCCACACACACACACGCACACAAATCTGAGCGCTATGGTTGCAAAGTAACGTGTTACTTGATCGAGCCATCTTTCTGGTTTGCGTCAAAGCTATCTGTCTGTAGTTAAGTTAGTTAGTGCAAAGAGCTCACTTTGTTTGTGACAGTCAAAGAGAGCACTCTAGAATTGGAAGTAGTTAGTTTGATGCTTTCATTTGAGCCGGTTTTACAAATGCCATGTTGTTGGAGAATGTACCCAGGTCAGGACTCAGGGTGCTGCAGAGCGTAATACGCACACCATGTACCTACCGCCTTGACTTTGTTGTGCTGTGTACATAAATTCTGAACGTGTAAGCGCTGAACAGAAAAGGTTCTTGAAGATGTAAAACTTAACAAGGTCGAAACAGCTACTCGTACACGTAGGGAGATTGCCGGGAGCTCCGGAGATTGTCGAAAGTACTAATACTAGATCGATATTATTGCAGCAATCCTATCGGTAAGAAATACTAAGAATATCAATAATATTGTTGTGAACGGTACCATTCGCCTGTTCACTGATAACGTTAATGCAATAATCTCTCCTCCTCTTCCCCTCCATGCGCTCTCTGCCGAAACACCAGTAAGGGGACTACAATTTACGATTACGTCGTAAGTATTGGGAAACAGAGATTCTCCCAGTAGGACGTATAATATCATGTTACGTAGCCTGTTGATGCATCCACACATCTGTGCAACATGGTGCAATGCCATTGCCAGCCTCTAATACTATAGCTCTACTGTATACATGTAGCAGCGTGTTTTTTATTGACCGCATAAGGCCATCATTTTTTATATCTATGTTTTGCGTCAGGTCAACTTCCAGAATCGTATGCGAGAGGTGGAAAGAAATAAAAAGATGCAAAATAATAAAAAAGGATCATCAGAGGTGTATAGCACTGTACATACTACATAGTCTATTGACTATTGTCAATAGCTCGTGCATGGTGTACATTCGAAAGAAAAATCGTACATCGAAGCACAAAATCTGGGTTATCAGCAAGAGGAAATATCACTTTGGACAGAGGAGGCAACCGTTGGTGGCCATGCTTCGCTGGATTATTGTACTCAGCCTTCAGCAGCGGTGCAAAGAGCTCGGAAACGACGCATCCTCTCAGCTTGAGGCGATCGATGCGGTCTGGTGTAAGCTCAAAGAATTCTGCTCGCAGATGCAGAACAAACGATCTACCAACCCTGCCCCTGGCCTCGAGGCCAATTCTGAATCCCAGCTTCGCCGTATGCAACCAGTCCACACTGATGACTCGCACGATCGTACACTCACTGTGCATGTTCGATTATTTTATTTTTTTCCGGAAAAAATCAAAACGTATGCGTGCGGACGACGCGAAACATAGATATAAAAAATGATGGCCTAAAATGATGATGCAAAGAAAGAAAAGTACTCAAGCATTACACCGCAGTCTATAGATCTACTGCAGTACTGCCGGTATACTGGTATAATGACACAACAGCCTCTTCTACGGGCAAAAGCAACACAATGATGAGAAACCAGGGTATGATAGGAAGATAATAACACACAGCTGTGGAACGTATTATAACTGTGTTTGCTCTACCACTGGCTAGCAGTGAAATTGACAAATTGGCAGATTCTGCTCGAAACGCAGTGAAATTGACAAATTGGCAGATTCTGCTCGAAACGCAGTGAAATTGACAAATTGGCAGATTCTGCTCGAAACGCAGTGAAATTGGCAGAACCATGCAAACCTTATGGTGGGAATTCCTTGAATTCTGCTCCTCTCCTTTATCCGCATACCAAACATGCATGAAACATACCAGAACAATAACCAAATTCTGCCGATTTTTCTGTCTGCACTATCCGCCAATGTCTACCTTGACCTGACGTTTTACAATCAAACTAAAGAGTAAGAGCTCCAGAATCTTATTGCGATAGATTCTACAATAACACTCTCTTCCACCGCAATCTGCTAGCATACTCATAATGGCCATCACACCTGTTTTCATAAACATTGTGGTCAGGGTAGAGCGGAATATTTCTGCCTGACAGCAGCTGTCAAGTGCCATAACAATGCCATAAATCAGTTCATAATGGTAGTCGGTACTGTGCACCGTGCACCTCCGGCTCCACATGTCTGTCACCTGGTTAGGTCGCCCAGTCCGTAAATCAGTGCGTTCTGTACAACCCAGCAACAAGGACGCAGGAGCTCCTACTACTACTAGTACTACGATAACTGTCTTGTAGAACAGCAAAGCTACAATCATAATCATTGTAGGTGAACCTACATCATGATCTGATGATTGTAAGCCAAGGTGCTTTGGCTTTGTACACTGCACTGCATACATAATACATCCACATGACTGGTGACGTACATGTACTAGCGGTCTAGAGAGTAAACTACATGGTTATGCTTGTGCCATAAATCTATGCAACCACTTTTACGAAATTACGTAGTCCTGATCAGTGCACCCAACTAACGTGTTACTTCCCAAGACTACAAAGACGAGGACGTCGACGAGCTGGGGGAGGGGAGAGCACACAGTCCGGCTTGTGCCGCCCCTGCCAACTCCTACGCTTGCAGCCGCATGTGAACCTGCGGATATCCTAGTACTAGTAGTAGTACTAGTAGTGTAGACTAGCCGATGTTGCAGCACCTGCCAACCCAATGACGTAAACTGTCCACCAAGCTGGCGCCCTTCATGACACTTCTTCACGTGCGCACACCTGTGACCTGTCCCATTTCCAGCGCGCCGCTACCGGTACCACCACTGCACTGCCAGAACTCAGTACACGACTACGGACGGTCGACTCATGTATTACTACTGCTAGCAATAGCGTCTGTAGCTGTAGGTGTAGCACTGCGAGGAGGCAAACTAGACATCGACGTGTGGGATGTCACAATCACAACCATTGCCCACTGGCAAGACAAAGTGTCACAAAAGAAGTGTCACAAACACACAACAACACGTACTGCACTGTACGTACTACTAGTACTACTAGTAGTACTACGCCTACGGTCGGTGGTCTGGGTTGTTCTTTTTGTTTGGTTGGTTCTACCTTTACTATTATACAATGTCATGTGCATGAACATGGTGAAGAAGAGGTCAGCCTACTCAAGCTCAACTGATGAGGGGTGAATTCCCCAAAACACTGCATGGAGTGGTGCTTTCTTGCAGGTAAACTGGTTTGCCGAGTGGACGGTTCGATGGACTTTACTCCTCGTGTGCTCTGGATGGCATGCAGTCGCGAGTCAGTCGAGTGAATAGGTTTATGGAGAAAACAAACGTATCATTATCAACTATCAGCCCGTACACTACCATCTTCCAAGTACTAGTACTGTACATGACTGAATGTACAGTCTACATGATTGTATATGACTGTAATTATTTTACTGTACTTGCACACAGGTGCACCAATAACGCAGCATGTCGTATTCGTGATACACGAAATGCCACTGTCAGCAATATACATGTACAATGATTATGTTCATGAAACATTACGTCATCAGTGTATGTTCATGACTGTACAATCAACATGATCATGTAGATGAGAAGAAGATCGACTGAAGAACTGACAAACACTTCTAACACAACACTCTACAGTCTACATGTACAGTACATTTGATTGATTTTTATTTCACGGATCCTCCAGAGGCAAATAGATGCCTATCGAAGGGAGTCTCCTATATAAGTATGGAAAATGAGAAAGTATGTTCGTAAGGGAGAAGAGGTAGAAGATACATTAGAATATAGAGTACAGAAGAAGTAAATTCAGTACTTCGGGTAGTACATTGCATGCTATAAATCATAATGAGAATTAGAAAAGCAGCATTGCGGACTACTATAACTGACATATACACAAACTATTGAAACTATCATAGATATGGTTAGCCTAGACACAAAAGTCAGGAATACCTTTCAAAGAAAACATAGATTGCGAATGATACCGACGAACAGCAATACTAAATTTCGCCGTTGTAGAGAGACATGTACATCAGTGCAT